ACTTGCTCTTTTTCTTTTTTTTTTTTTTCTCATGCACGAGCGAAACAAAGGCTTGCTATTACATGTAAAATGGATGTTGTTATATATTTGGGAAATGTTTCTGACTATGGGAAGACTTCTTTACAGTCAGCGCTTTCCACTGAGGACCTTGAAGCTGTACTGTTCTCATGGTTATCATATAGGCATTAATGTAAGGCAATCCTGGTAGCTCTATAGAAAAGCAAGGAACTTGAAGAAACTCAAGAGTCCTTCTGTGAGAGGACTTGAAGCCAAATTCCATATTTTTCTAGAGATGCTGGGATTTTTACCACCACAAGAAATAGCAAATTCTTGTCCTCAGGCATCGGTTAGCTTCCTTTCACTGAATGCTACCACTTACTATTGTTATTTTGCACATTAATTAAAATGCTCTGAGTTTTCAGCTAACATAGAAACCATGGATAAAGGCTGAAGCAGGACTTAGGACTTTTTTTTTTGTTGTTGTTAATAATGTTGATTCTTCCTGAAAACATTCACTGCAGAAATCATGGAGAAACTATACAGGCCAGCATCTGGAAAACCAAGTCATTGTTTATACATTTCTATGTAGCGTCCATGGGAGCTCACTTTTTATGAGCTTAGAAGATTGTTGAGAATAGGATAACATGTAGAAAAGGATACAATGACTTTTAAAACCTAGTTCCTGTGTTTGTACATGGTGCTTTTTCGAGACACTTCCTCAGTAACCCAAACTTGCTTTGATCCATTTTCCTTTCTCTTTCAACTCTGTTAAAACCATAATGCAGGTCTATATTACATGTTAATAAGGGTTGTCCTTTTGCTTGCTGTGGTTTTATTGTTTGGTTTGTTTGTTTGTGTTGCCCCCCCATAAAGAAATGAAGTTTCCACCATGAATTTGCACAGCATGATTGTACAGCAGTTTTTTTCTTATGATTAAACTTGAATTGCACAAACTTGTGCAAGATATGTGGGATATTATTCCTCTTTATTTTGATGTTTTTTGCTGTCTAAATAGGAAAGATGTTTTAAGATTTCTAGACAGGCCATTGTTCACTCAATTGTTCTTTGTACTTTGCTGTGTTACAAGAACTGATTGTAATGTAGGATAATAGTTGCTCTCAGTCAGGAGACTGAATGTAGAGAAAGTATGCATTTGAATATTCAAAAGGAAGAATAGTATGTATGGTCCTCTATTTAAAGAATATTGTGCCTTGTATTAAAACTGTATTAAATTTGATAGTCAAGTATGAAGCCAAATATGAGAAGTCTACAAAGTGTTGGTACTTAATGGGATTTAGATCAAATGTGATTTTCTAGAGGCTGCAGATGACTTTGAATCAGACCATACAAGTGCTCAGAATGAAAGCTTATATTTTTGGAAAGGAAAATATAAAAGAAAATGAAGATGCAGTGTTGATTTTTCAGACAGTGTCTTGTAGGATAGAACGCTTACTGTGTCTTTGATGCTGGGGAGGTCATGTTTCTTCACTTCCTTGGCAAATAAAATAGGAATTTGTGAGCTACCTTTCTGCTTAAGGCTCGTGTTATGCTCACTAGAGTGCTCTGATGAAAAGCATGTGATTGCAAACAGTGTCGTGTAACATTCTTATGCCTGTGATTTAATAGAAACTGTATGAAGAAATTATATGTTGGGTTTTTAACTCAACAGTGACTCAGACAGGGTGGTGGTGATGTTTTGCTTATTTTTCTGTCTGTGTGGGTGGTATCCGTGTGGGCAGGACTGGTTTATGAGCTGATTTGGTGTACCTGTTCACCAAACTGTATCATTCAGGCCACGGAATATTCTCACAAGAGTATTTTGTGTATACTTTGGAAACGCACTTTATCATTTGAAGGAATTGCCCACTTGAGTTGCCCATAGAGGGACAGCTGTAAATTAGTGGTACAATTCAGAAGTGAATCTATCATGGGTCAGAAGCCAGTTTCTGTGGCCTCTGACATCAGTCAATATAAGTCCTTCTGGCATTACTGGGGTATGAAGACTGTTAGACACAAACAATGCCAAATAAGTAATCAATAGTCAAGTTTAATTTTACGTGGAAAGGTGGTGCGACTGTGCCGATTTCAAGGAGCTATAATCCATTATAGCCAACACAGCAGCATTATTCACAGCATTTAGTCACTGAAATAACCCTCCCAAGACCACTTTAGGTAACGAAACTGTGAGCATTTCTCATTCTCCACAGATGAGAACTGTCATGACAGTTAAAATGATGGCAGGCATGCCAAATTCCATCGTCAGTGCTTTAAAAATCTTGAAGTTTTGCTCACCATTTGTTGCTATCGGATGGGTTTACTTTTGATAAAGCCATACGATTTTGAAGCAATATATTTCCTTTCAAAGTCTATCACTACAAAGTTTTAATTTGTGATCCAGAATGGAATGACAGACCTCTCATCACTTGCTGAGTAAAACACAATGCTGCAACATGCTGGAAGTCCAGAGGTGTGTGAGTTTCTCCAATGGTTCCATGATTCAGCCCAAAGCAGAGGCCATCCTGCAATTAAGTACCACTTCATTGCCTAAACCATAAAGATACTTTTAGAGACTGCAGACTGTCGCTAAAGCTTTTCAATTAGCATAAGCCTTTGAAGGATCCAAATCTAAAGTGGGTGAATCTCAGCTGAAAATCAGGTACTCTGCTGAAGCTCAGGCTGTTCTTTTGTCCCTTGTAGGTAATATGAAAGCTTATTTCTTCCAGGAAGGTAGTGGTGATGCTATCTGTGACTGTTTAGAAATGCTTGGTAGCTGGGTGCTGTAGTGGGAGCAGTAAGGACACAGCATAGCATGCAGGATCCCTGTCCATTGCAGAAGTGAGGGGGAGGTGTCAAAAAATCATGTTTTTCTTCATTCATTTTGGCAAGCTTTTGAGTGAAGAACAGGGTTAACTAGATAGCAAATATCCTCACAAAACTGCAAAAAGCGATTTCAGAGAACTGATTCACTGATCTTCACCATACTCTTTATTATATTTTTTTAAGTGAAAATGATTGAGAAATTAAATACACGTGTTCCCAGCTTTGCACAGCTTTCCAAGATATTTTAAGAGAGAGGAAAAATAGATCAACTGATAGTAGGCATTACAGTATGAGTTTGACATGTACAGTCCAGAGTAGTAAATATGTTTTTTTATCAGGTAAATTTGCAGATAAATAAGAGAGGCGGCCTTACTTTTTACTACAAGATGCTGAACGTAGGATTCTCAGTGCAGGAAATTCACAGGCAATTCTCATTTATTTTCATTCCCCTTGTTGTATTAAAGCACATTTTATCTGACTGCATAGTAATCTTATGTTATTAGCTGTTGAGTTGCGTTAGACCATGATGTATGTATGCTCCTGTGAGCAATTTCACCATTTGATTCTTGGTATGTAGAAGACTTGAGACAGTGAGTTGTTTGGTGAGTGTTTTGTTACTTCTTCTGTGTTCACTGTTCTTCTGCAGTGAAAGTTTAACAGCAGCGAATATTGTTATCTTTTCAAGATGATGTGTTTTATTTGTTACGCAGCTAGTTGTTTTAAATAAAAATGTTGTGTCATGGTGAATATTTACACTTGAGGAAGTAGCCATGTTAGAGTGCCATGTGTATTACACTCAAAAGAAGTAGTGACCTGAGCTGTGAAACTCCTGTTTGACATCCTTACTGCAAACTGAGACGTTGGCTCCATGCCATCTCCAAGTGTGCCAGTCACCAGCTCGGTCTGAGCAGCAGTAACCAGCTGTCCTTCAAAAGGCTTTTAAATAAACAGCCTGCTGCCACAGAGCATCTGAAAGCCGGAAGTTATGGTCTTTGCAACAAACTGTAGGACAAGGCTGTCTCTTAAAGCACCCTCATTTCCTGCTAATGACTCTTAATTTGACTATTAGGAGGCTGGCCTTCCCGGCCTTTGTATTTCATTATTTCCAGACTGTGCAGGAATACTACATCAAGGGCCATGTCAGGTGTGACTGGGGTCCAACCCTGCAAGTCTCATGTTTTGCTGACAGAGGAAGAATGACTGCTTATAAACTCATGATTGAAGTATCTCTGCAGGGTGGTGTAAAGATGTGCCATCGGTGAAAGGAAAGGGCAACTGGTTTTATTTAATCTTCCAGCTACTTGGGGGAGGATTTTCCATGTTGCTTACATTCTACTGTGTGCAGATGGGGTCTAACACACTACAGTTCTCCTTGCCTAGGTATGCGCTACTTTCTTCTGGTGAACAAAAAAAAAAGCCTTTTTCAAGACCTCTCTTGAAAGCTTTAAGAGTGCCTTCAGAGTAATTCAGTGCTTTCCATGCACAGCTTAAGGAAAACAGTAGAGCACACATAATCCCATGAAGAGTGTTCATTAGACACTGATAGGGTAGGATGCTTATAGTGCTATGAAAATTTAAATCGAGGGCCACAGTCTCTTCTCACGCCTCTTATTCTCCACACCCTTCTGCATCTTTGTTGCTCCACTTTGGACACTCTGTAATAGCTTTACATCTTTATATTGTGGTGTCCAGACCTGCACCTAATACTCAAAGTGAAGCTGCACAGCACAGAGCAGAGTGGGACAATCCCTTACCTCTCCTGGTGGCATTACTGTGCAGAGGCAGAGATCCACCATGCTGGCTGTTCCCCTGTAGAGAAGATAAATAGAGCTATTAAGAAAGTGTCAGCTTCACCATTGCTTTTTAATAGTTTTACACAGTTTAGTAGAAAATTAAAACCATTGCTGAATTCCCGAGGGTGGATTAAGTACGATAAAAGACAGAGATGATAATTCCTTAATACTTAAAAAAAAGAAAAAAGAAAAAAAGTATAAAAAATATGTTGTTTATGTTTTATGTTTTCATCAAGTTAGAGATTAGTATTTTTTAAATCTGGTTTATTAAATACTTTACATTTGCTTTTCAGCTTATAATTAATAGAAAACGATGGTAAAATGATAACAAACTGGTGGGTCCAAACTTGAGCTTTCCACTAATGTAAATCATTTCCATATCCTTAGGGACATGAAGCCTTTTGGGAAGGCTTTCAAGTGGAAGAGCTAGTAGACTGCTTTGAAGTCAACACGAACTTCTGTGACAAAAAGAACCTGGAGGACCTGTGATAGGGAGCAAGTGTTTTCAGATACCTGAGCTAAATCTTAGCAGTGCTTTTCTGCCATCTGCTGCAGAGCAGAAGATTATCAGACATGTCAATAGCACTGAAGCAAGTCTTTAATAAGGATAAGACTTTTCGTCCAAAACGCAAGTTTGAACCTGGAACCCAGAGGTTTGAGCTACATAAAAGAGCTCAGGCCACTCTGCACTCAGGTGTGGACTTGAAAGCAGCTGTACAGTTGCCCAGGGGAGAAGACCAAAATGACTGGGTGGCTGTCCATGTTGTTGACTTCTTCAACAGGATCAACCTCATTTATGGAACTATCTGTGAGTTCTGCACAGAGAGGACCTGCCCAGTGATGTCTGGAGGCCCTAAGTATGAGTACCGGTGGCAGGATGACATGAAATACAAGAAGCCTACAGCGCTGCCGGCACCGCAGTACATGAATCTCCTCATGGACTGGATTGAGATGCAAATCAACAACGAGGATATATTTCCTACAAGTGTAGGTAAGTGCAAGGAAGAATTGTCAATTGCCTTTCATTCTGTGCACTTCGCATGATTCTTCCTGACCTCACAGAGGCTGTGGAGTCCAAGGCTTTATAACAGCAGGTGGGGGAGGAGGGTGTTTTGCCAGAATGGTCTAAAATGTATGAAATGTCTGCTACATCTGATGGGGTTTGTTAGCCTAAAACGTTTTCATTTGAGCCATTTGTTCTTGGTAAGCTTCTGCTTCTCAGATTATTCACTACAGGTGGTGACCATTTCATTTTAGCTTGCTGAAACTTAGTCATGTTTGAATTGCTTTACACTTTGCCTTTGAATGGTATTTCCCTTTGGAAAAGTGTACAGCACTATGCAGCACAAGGCCATGGACAGTCAGGAATGCAGTCAACTATACCGTCCTACCCTCTCATCACTTCCCACACTAAACTGATGAATTAGAAAGTGAGTTATTCCCCAAATTACTGTACTTTAACCAAAGAGCCCAGGGAGGAAGCTGCTAGAGAGAGCACAATTTGTCTTTTGGTGCTGTTGTTAGCTTTTCTGGAGTGTGCAAATAAATGGAAGTATTGTTGCTAGAATATTTTCCTCTGAATGAGGAAGACTTTGTGGAGGAATGCCATTGTATGCATTGTATGGTGTAGAGAGCCTAAATCTTTTGCTGTGTTTGCAGCTAATGAAAAGGGCAAGATGCTGTACCTGAGCAGTGTGAACTTCAGTTTTATTTAATGAATCATCACTTCTTTCAAGTAGGAAAGCTGGGAGCTTCCTGTCAGAAATGTGAGATGTAATATAAATATATGGATGAGTAAATAGCAGAATATTTTGCAGTTTATACAGTTAGGAGATGGTACATCAAGAGGCTGCATGTATTGGTGAGCTTTGCTAACCTTTGAAATAGCCAATTCTTGGCCTCGTCTGCTCTTTGTTTGAACAGACTTGTGGCTTGTTTCCCAATCCTTATCTCTTTTCTGCACTAACAGGTAGAAAGAAGAAAACAACTATGTCTTTTAGGCTGTAATTTGCCAGTCTAGCAAGAAGCAGGATTTCAAAGGAAGAAGTATATACTTTTTGTATAGTGAAGAATAGGTCTGATTTCATAAAGCTTATTTGCTGTGAAAGATTTTTGGAATTGAGTGAACCTTAGGAGTGCAGTTAAATATGTGTTTTTGCTTCCACTGGTATTTTTTCCATGCTTTTGTTACACCAAGTTTCCATCTTCCAGTTTTCTGCTGTGCCACCACAGTGTGTATATGCAAAACAAGATTTGTGGCCTGAACACATACATGCTGATGAGTTTTACTAAAACAATAAAAAAAAACCCCACCCAAATAATACACAAGGTTTCAGCTCCAATAGCTCTCCTGTGTATGTTTTTAGTAAGATACACCTAAGGTAAACCTTCAGGATAAATGTGAGTAACAATAATGCTTAAATATTAAATAGCAGTGGTGGTTTGAAACCTTGATCTCGTGATTCAGAAGTTGATGCACACTGCAGTGCATTTGGAGTTCTGTGCTCTCAGTGAGGCCCTGAGGAGGCACCTAGAACAGTCAGAGGGAATTCTGTGTCAGAGTAGCTCCAACATAGACAGTGTTCTGTAGCCTCAGCAGCTAGGAGAAGTCCCTGGCACTTCGGGGGCCCATTTCTGGATGAGACGCTTTGCTCTTGAGGGAATCTTTCTAATCTTTCTAAATCAGTCCCCTATCTATAACGTGGAGATGGCACTACCAGCCTGTACAAATGCTGCATATTAAGCAGTTCAATGAGATGTGGTAGCTCAGCATGAATATTGTTCCATGTTTTGCTCTTCACAGTTGGTTAGAGTGAAGCTTTGTTATTGTATTGGATACTGTTTGTTCTGCCTGTTTTGCAGCAGCCTTTGGTTATTTGACCATAGGGTCTCTGTTATGTTTAGTATTAATGCAGATTTGCATTCAAACAGATAATTGGCAATGAAAATTAAGATTGTTCATTCTTCAAAGTAGTTGAAATAGATCTTGAAAGATGATCTACTTGAATGACAGAACTTAGTATGCCATTATTAGTAGTATAGCAGTATTAAAGCATCATATCTGGATGTAACTTGGAGATTAACTTATTGTGTTAAATCTTTGTAGCATACGTAGAGAATTCCTCTGGAAAAAGTGTATGTCCAGTGGATAGGATTTCAACTGACCTTTCCACTAGTGGATGAGTTTGCTTAAGAGATCTAGGAGATTTATAGGAGCTGTTTGTACCATACTTTTCTCAGCTTAATCCTATTGCCCTCTTTTATTTGACCATAATTCATGCAAACCACTTAAAAAAGGGATAGGGAATAGCCCCGCTTGGTGGTCTTTTGTTTTGGTTCTTCCCTCTGTGGTTAAAAGAAAAAAAAAAAACAAACAGAACAAGTGAGTTAAGTTATAAACAGTATACTACATTTAACACAAATTCCTCTTGGTGTTTACATTGACACTGTAACCTCTAACCTATGACTACTTACCAGTCTGTGTGCTTCCTGTGGTCTGGCTCCTCTTTGCTTTCTGTGGTCATTCTGGCCTGCTCACTTACTGGTAAAGAGCCCCTTCTCCAGCCACCCTCCTGCTAATACCAATCTGACAGGCAGGAGAAAAGGGAGCTGGCATGGGAACTGAGGAGCTGTTAAGTGAAACTGACAAAAACAGGTGCTTGAATATTAGGGGCTCTTTTTTCTTTAAGGCAAAACTTCAAAGATTATTGGAAAAACAGAGTCACAGCCTGTAGACAAGTTTTACTGATTATGACCTTGTTCTTATTTAAATTATTACCCATTTCTTTCATCCATTTTTAGGTGGGTTTAATGTATGTTAGAGGCTAGCAGCTCTGCAAACATGTTCTACGTGTAACTAGCCAGCTGCTGTGAGCAGTGTGAGACCTTTTTGGGAAAGGAAGAACAGGATGGGGGAGAGTTTGCTCTGTGTGCTTGCTTAGGCCATGCTGGTGAAGCTATTGATTCTAGTTTCCAACATGGCTTCTTTAGTGTGTTGGGGTTTCAGTTACCAGATACAGCTACATCAGATCCATGGCTTGAAATACAAAGGTAAAACAGAAGATGGAGATTTCTGCTAAAATAAAGAAGCACGTGGGCTTTTCTGACTTGATGTAATAAAACTCTAACCCTTGAAGATAAGAAAACAGTGAAGGTTGGGGACACAGAGTTTATGCTGTCTCCGTCCTTGGAAATTTTAAAGATCAAACTGTGTAAAGCCTTGAGTGTCCTCATTGGATCTCATGGCTGCGTCAAGCAGGAAACTGGGCTGCAGACCTCCCAGAGTCCCTGCTACCCTGAACTGTCCTGCAATATGTAATTCTGATTTCAACACTGACAAGCTGCTCAAGGAACAAGAGCTGAATTGATTAGAAACTGGTGAAGCAGCTTAAGAAGGTGCAATTTGGCATTTAACTGAAGTACAAAATCACTTCTAAGCTTTGAGAGTTTGTGTGGAATAGGATTTAAAAGTATTAAATTACTGTAATCAAATAGCCTAGTTATGGCTGGTCAAAAGGACAACATTGTCTTAAAGTGTTTAAAGCCTGGAACTTCAGCTGAAAACTTAATATATCTTTAGAAATATGTTGCCTTCTCCACACTTGTGAGCTCATGACTTTTGGTAGCAGGCAGTTCCAAAATTTATACATGGAGCATTAGTGTACTGCTTCTTCCTAGAGAAGAACCCCATACGTCCACACAGTACATCTCATCTCTAAAAGCAGACCAGGACTGTGGGGCCTTCTAGCCCTTTTCCAGAAAAGGGTTGCAGGTGACTGGTGCTGTGAACAAAGACTACTGTTGCTTTTGTTTTCCCAAGGAATGGAGAGGTGTATGAGATTTTGGTAGCATGGTGTTAACTGGCATTGGCTGGTTTTCTTCATCTTTTGCAGCCGCTGCAATTGCAGCATCTAGGGTCTGACATTGCCTTTGCACATGGGCCCTGCAATAAAAAAAAAAAAAGTGTAATTGCTACAGCTGGGTTTTTTTCCTCCCTCCCTTTCTCTCTTGCTTTCTCTCTTGCTTTCTTTCTGCCAAGCTTTGCCAAGGGCTGACAGGATGGGTCAGATGGCTGGATGTTAGCTGGTTGTTCAGTCATGGCTGGTGGATAGGTGTAGCTGTAGATTGACAGCTGAAGTCAGTTATAAATTCCAGTCACTCCTTTCTCGCTGATTTTTACATCACTTTGATCAGTAGTGGTTTTGGGCTAAGGAAGACATTGGCACTGTAAAGCTTTTCTCCTTTCCCCTATTGCTTCCTGTCTATGGTCCCTTCTTCAGCAGGGGCAACCTAAACAACTGAACAACTACACAGCTACATCTTTTGTGTAAATGAAGAAAATTCAACAAGACAGGTTATTGCATCCCAGTAGTTTTCTCTAGTCATTGAAGTGTGTGAATTCTGTGCTTATTTGTATGTTGCAGTAAAGTTAGAGCAGTAACACTTGTTTTTAGAAAGTTTTGTGTTTGGAAATATACGTGCCTGAAAAATAACGTAGATATTTTATATCGTGTTTATATGCCCAAATCTACTCTTTCTCTTCCTTTTTAGCTCTTAGGGTGATTCAGGGCCTAGCAGATATTTCTCTGTAAACTAAACTGGCAGATGAATATGCCATTTCAAAAGTACTGTCAAAGACAGCTGATAAACATTGTGTTGTCTCTGTCTGCATGGTGAATCTTGCCATCTGCTTGATAGATAAATATCTGGCCTTTTAAACATTGTTTCTTTTTGCTGACTAATTTTTCTTTTGAGCAATTTCACTCTGTTTTTGTTTAGTATCTTAAATGCCTTTTTTAGCCCATGCTTTTATAAGAATAAGGACTAAATCCTAGGAGTAATTTGGACAATCTTCAACCCCAGTCATTACTAATTACTCAGGGTAACAGTAAGGAGTCACACAGATTGTCCCATCAACCTTCAGGAAACTTGACTTTCCAGCACACTGAAATAGCATGTGCTATGGACATTACTTGAATTAACCTCTTGCAG